CCCCAAAACCCCAAAACCCCAAAACCCCAAAACCCCGGATGATGGTTTCAGATGGAATTATATAATTGTTATCAGAAATATTTAGAATTTCGAAAAAGATAAATCAGGATTATTTCTCTAATCATCCTCAGATCCTTCAGGTGTAGCAAAGATGACTTCGATCATACCCTGAGAAGTTGTTTCCAAGAATTTTGGTTTAAATTGCTTCTTTTAACTGGCCTAAAATTCTGATTTTCAAGAATTCGTCAGAATGTCGACCAGAAGATTATAATAAATTTCTAATATTTAAAGGAGAAAATTATGAGAATTACAATAATAAAATAATGAAAACATCAATTATCTTCGTGCTGACATTGCTTATTGCTATTTCCACTGTAGCTGCCTTCAGATTCAGACAAGGAGGTCCCCCAGGAGGTCCACAAGGAAGTGATATGGGTCCCCCACTAGACTCAAATGGAACTGATAGCTCTGATTGGGATATGAGCGGAGATGGCGGCTGTGGCGGCCCAGGCGACATGAGCGGCTTTGGCGGAGATAACGGAACTGATTTCTCCTATGATGGTAGCGACATGGGACCAGGAGATTTGAGCGGAGACTTCGACCCAAGTTCAATGAACATGAGCGGACCACCACCACAAGACGGAAACGGAACTGTTACCAGAAGGATGCAAACCTTCAGAAGACTCCAGAGCTTGAGACAATAAATCAATAAGAATGGAGCTCAGGCGTAACCGCTCAGCTCATTCTCTATTAATTTGATAAAAAAATTAAAATTAGACTTTCTCGTACGAATTAGGCCGTTTGGAGCCATTTTTTGAGGTTTTGATTGAGGGTTTAGGTAAGGGAGTGGTTCTTGTGCCAAATTTTGGGCTGAAATTTTGTTAGAGAGGGAGGAAATTTAGCATTTTTGAGAGAATAGGAAGGTTTTTCATGAAAGTTCGTTATGATGTCCTATAAATATGCTAAGAAGGGATAGAGGGAATAAGAGATGTGTGTTGAAGAGTTTAGTCTATTTAGCTCAGTGCTCCATCTCTTTCTCTATTATGATTGCTGCGGGAAGGGGATGCTTCTGGGTATCAGATAGCTGACCAGAAAATTCAGAGAAATTGTTATAAAATTTTGAGCCTTTTAGGTATAACTTTGATTTCTCTTACTGAGGAGGCTGAAGGAACCTTCAAGAGCTACTAAATAGGTGGCAATCATAGTTAATAAATCTAGAGGCCTCTATTAGTTCCTAATTATCATGGATTCTTAGTTTTAGACGGGAAGGGAAGCTCTTTTAGAATCTTTTAGCTAATACAAAGCAAGAAATATTATCTAAAATTAATATAGAGGATACTCTTTTGGCCCTCAACATCCAATTGCTGGAGAGAATCTTTCTGAACGAGAGGAGGATGTTTAACCTTGTCTCAGTCAAGCGAGTCTAAGATGTCAGACTTCTCTTTTAATGAAAAATAACTAAAAATTTATTGGACTTAGCCCATAATTCATTTATTTATGCTTGCTTCTAATAACAAATAGGAATAGAACGAATCGTATGCGAAATAAATGCTACATTATTAATATCTGCTATCATGCAAGCTTTTGAGAATGAGAAGATGGAAAGAAATATCTAAAAATCAAGTTTCCCAACTGATTTCTAAAAGGAGATCATTTATATCAAAAATAGGCTGCTAAATACCTACCTAAAAGGGATATAGAACCATTTCAGTGCACAAAACAGCCCAGATGGGAGATAGTTTAGCAACTTTAATAAATTTTCCCTAAAATTTTCGCTCTATTTAGAGGAATTTGGATCAAATTTAGCATGTTCCTCAATTTTTTACTGAGAAAGACTCGAGATGAGTGCTGATTCTTCGATAAATCCGGCTTCCATTGTCTACTTTCTACACCGCTCTCATAGTAAAAACTATTGAAATGTGGCAAATTCTCCATTTTCAATATGGCTGAGTTAGTACGGGGTTTTGGGGTTTTGGGGTTTTGGGGTTTTGGGGTTTTGGGGTTTTGGGG